TTACAGTACACCTTCCTGTGATATAACATAGTAACAGAAGCATTATTGCTAATTTGTTTTGGGTTTCATATAGCCCAACATACTTTGCATTCCTGACACTCCTGCTTAAGCCTTCCAAGTGCTGGGATTATAGGTATATGCCACCACACTTGACTGTTTTTTGTTTTGTTTTGTTTGAGAAAGGATCTTGCTATATAGCCCCAGTTGGACATAAATTTTCGATCTTCCTGCCTCATCCTCCCAAGTGCAGGGATTCCAGGCATGTGTCACTACACTCAAACCAGGTTTTTTTTTTTTTTTTTTTTTTTTCCCCCCAGCATCCAGGAGGCAGAGGCAGGTGGATCTCTTTGATATCGAGGCCAGACTGGTCTACATAGTGAGTTCCAGGAGGGCTAGGGCTATGGGAGACCCTGTCCAAAAACAGAAAAGTTTTTAAGGTATAATGTTCATTATCTGAAACAGTAGGGTATGACTGTACCTAAAACTGGGTATCAGAGGGTACATGCAGTGACATATATAAATAGCAAATATGGCAGTTAAAGGGTTATTAGAAATTTGGTGAGAATAGTTTCTGAAAAGTTTTGGCAATTGCAGTTGATGGAGAAAGGAATATGGCTTGAATGAGAAGGAAAGATATGAACCAGCACTTTGAAGAGAACATGAGCTCAAAGAAGACATGTGTTTTGTGTTTTTGATCATCTAAGGCAATTGAAACGTGTTTATAGGCTGAGACAGAATCCAGAGGAAAGAAAAGTAGATAATTCATGCAGAAGTTCTTAAAAGGGGAGGGATATCCCAGTATCCTTTACTAAGTGGAACCATATCTGTACATATGTTCTAAGGAGAAAGAGATTAGGAAAGGAAAGAGGGAAGGAGGGAGAGAAGGAGGGAAGGAGCAGGGAAGGAGGGGAGGGAGACTGGAAGACATTTACAGCACAGATATGCCAACTGATATTTACAATAAATTTTACACTTGCCAGTTGGAGCCGGCCTGACGTCATTTTGAAAGATCCCATTCACCTAACAAGGAACTCTTCATCATATACCTAACATATTATAAGCCTACGAAAATTTCAAGTCATAAATGTTAGGTTGTAAAAGTCCTCTGGAGATCTTCCAGGCCATCCATGATTTTCAAGACAAAGGAGCTGGTACCTAGTCCTAAGCCAGTTTAGGGAAGACCCTAGTTTAGGAATACAGCTCCTCTAATCTAGATCAGTGTTTCTGAGATGCCCTGAGTGCTTC